GTATTAAGAATTCCTTATATTTTAAGGCACATAGATGATTTGCAATATTTCCTCTTGTTATGTAGGCTCTCTACTCATTTCATTAATGTTATCCTTTAAAGCATATGTTTCTAGTTTTGATGAAGTCTAATTTATCTATTTTGTTTATTTGTTTCTTGTGCTTTTAGTGTCACATCTAAAACCACTGGTTAAGCAGCCGTTTTTATTCCTACATAACTTCTAAGAGTCTTATACTTTAGGACTTACATTTAGGTTATAATCCACCTGAGTTAATTTTTTGTAGATGGTGTGAGATCATGGTCCAGCCTCCTTGTTTTGTATGTGGGTAGTCAGGTAATCCAGTAAAATTTATTGATGAATTATCCTTCCCCACAGAACGGTCTTGTATTCTTGTCAAAAGTCAAATGACTGTAAGTGTGAGGGCTTATCTCTTTATTCTCACCGATTTCTTAATTCTCCATAGCTCGACATGTCTGAATTTATGCCATTATCACACTGTATTATTTACTGTAGCTTTGTAGTAAGTTTTGAAATTGGGAAATATGGATTGGTTTAGCTGTTCTGAGTCTCTTGCATTCTTGTAGGAATCTCAGTGTCAAGTTTTGCCAAAAAAGACAACTGAGGTTTTCATGGAGATTTTATTGAATCTGTAGGCCAATTAGCAAAACAATATCATCTTAACATTAAATCTTCCAAACCAGGGCAGGGTGGCACCTGCTCAGTGGCACAGTGCCTGCCTGGCAAGTGCAAGGTCGTGAATTTGATTCTTGGTACTGGAAAAAAACCAAAACCAAAAGAAAACAAAAAACAAAAAACAAATCTTCCAAATCATGAAAACAGGCTATCTTTCCACTTATATATGACTTTTTTGTAATTTCTTTCAACAATGTTTTCTAGTTTTCAGAATATAAATTTTTGTTTTAATTTCTGCACCTATTGAGATAACCATATGCTTTTTTGTCTTTTATTCTGTTAATATGGTTTATTACTCTGATTTTCATGTTGAACCATCTTCCAGTCCTGGAATAGGTTCTACTAGGTCATATTACAAGATTCTTTTTGTATGTTGTTGGGTTCAGTTTGCTAGCATTTTGTGGAGGATTTTTGCTTTTATATTCCTGAAACATTAGCTTAGAGTTTCTTTTCTTGAAATGTGCTTATCTGTGTTTGGTATCAGGGTACTTGGCTCACAGAATGAGTTGGGAAGGGTCACCCCTACCAAAGTTTGTGAAGGGTTAGTGCTAATTCTCCTTTAAAGGTTTTAATAGAATCCATCCATTATGATGTCTGAGCCTAGCTTTTCTTTACATGACTTTTTTTTTTTTTTAAAGTACTGAGGATTAAACTCAGGGCCTTTGCACTGAACTACATCCTCAATCTTTTAAATTTTTTAAATTTTGAGACAGCCTCTCACTAAATCAGTAAGTGACCCAGGCTTGCGATTCTCCTGCCTCAGCTTCCCACCACATCCGACAATTTTTTTTATTCGTAACTCAATCTCTTTACTTGTTTATAGGCTTATTCAGATTTTTTCTTTTAAAAATATTTTTTAGAAGCTTTAAAAAGTTTTTATTAGTACATGTTTGCAGTACAAAATAATGACATTAATTGTGTTACATGTATGTAACACACCTCAATTCTTTTTTCCTTTCTCTCCCATGCTTGTTTCTTTAAAAAGTTTTTTGTAAACATCAGATTACTTTATTAATTTCAGAATTAAGATAATTATTAAGTTAATTATCATTAACACAGATTGTTTTGTTTTGTTTTGTTTTGTTTTCCCGTACCGGGGATCGAACTCACGACCTTGTGCTTGCCGGGCAGGTGCTGTGCCGCTGAGCTAAATCCCCAGCCCCCATTAACACAGATTAATAGCCAGACTAACAGGCCAAAAACATATAAAGCTCATAAGACAATTATACTAATTCAAGATATATTTTAAATGCTTTGATCATGCTGGATTACAATAATTTTTTCCTTATTGGTTGTGGTTTATTTTTTATTTTATTTACATATTAGGTTTCTTATTTAAGAGAAATCATGTGATATTCAAAATCGTGTGTCTGACTTACCTCACTTAACATTATGATCTCAAGATGCACCCATTTTCCTACAAAGGGCTCAAGTTTATCCTTTTATGGAAGAGAAGTATGCCATTGTGTATAAATACCACATTTTTTTTATCTGTTCATCTGTTGATGGACATATAGGCTGCTTCCAAGACAGATTTTTTTCTTCTTTAGCCAATTTTAATAGTTTGTGTCTTTTTAGGAATGTGTGCATTTTGTTTAGATCGCTTAACTCATGGCATTAAAATTATTTATAGTCTTACCTTATAATCCTTTTTATTTCTATAAGATTGGTTGTAATGTCCCCTCTTTCATTCTTGATTTTAGTAATTTGAATCTTGTTCTTTCCTCCATTGGTCAGCTAAGTCAAGATCTATCAATTTTGTTGATACTTTTAAAGAACTAACTTTTGGTTCTACTGATTTTCTCTATTGTTCTCTGATTCTATTCTCTATTTAATTCATTTTCACTCTAATCTTTATTATTTACTTCCTTGACTTGCTTGGTTTAGTTTGGTCTTTTTTAGATATCTTCATGTGGAAAGCTATGCTATTGATTTAAGATGTTTTGTCTGTGCCTATAAATTTCTACCTAAGTTCTGCATTAGACACCCCATATACTACATTATGTCAAGCTTTTGCTTTTTCTCTTACTTTGAGCACCTTCCCTAAAACATCACCAAATCCTCTTGTGTTTATTTTCAGTATATTTTGGAATTCAGATGGTTTGGGATTTTTAAAGATCATGTAGTACCATACGTGTGGGTGGACATACCCACCCACAATGGGCTCTGTGGCAGCTCCTCAGAATCAGGCACATTTATATTTCTGTAACCAAACCCATATATTAATTCCAAATGGGATAAAGACTGTTAAATAAACTCAAGTCAGTTCAGGTTATGCTCCTCTGTCAAATGAATATGGCTCAACCTTACTAAAAGAAATCTGGGTAACAGGACTTTTTGAAGTTCGGATAAGGATTGCTGATCTGGGATCCACATCCACATCACTGTCTCCTATCACACCGTGGCCACCTTGTGCAGCCCAGGACCATCTCTCCCTCAGGCTATCTCCCTGCTTCAGCGCTGCCCACTCTTTGCTCTATTACCAACACGGCAGCATGAAACCCATGCTAAAACAGAGGCCATGTCATGGCACTTCTGTGTCCACATCTTCTGTGTCCACATCTGCAAGAAACAAAGTGAGATGACAACAAACCAAAGTCCTTACATATAGGCCTAGGGGGCCCTCCACAAGCCATGTCTCTCATGCTACCTCATTTCTATTCCCATCTCATCTGTCATTCAGCTCCCAGCTCAGGGTCTTTGCACTCGTTGTTTTCTCTGCCTGCAGAACTGTTTTTATTTTTTTTCCAGATGTAGACACAGCTCGCCACTGCATTCCTTCCAGGCCTTTTCTTAAATGTCACCTTAGTAGGGTCATTCCTAACCAATGCATAGGAAATAGGACCCAGACTTTCCTAGGTCTCCCTGCCTGCCTTGCTGTTTGCCATTGCACGTGTCACCATCTAATGTATTTATTATTTTATTTATGCATTTATTCATTTTTCTGTATGCTTTCCTCCCAACTTCAGTTTATAACCTTTGTGAAAGCAAGAAATGTTGACTATTTATTTGCTATATCTCCCATACCTAGGTTACTACTTGGCACATGATAGGCACTCAGTTTGTGGAACGAATGAGTGAATGAATGAATGAGGCCTGTTCCTATGATCACAGAATGGGCAAATATGTTCTATTAGTTTCCTAGGGTTTTCATAACCAGTACAAATTTAGTTAGTTGGCTTAACTAATAGAAATTTAGTTTCCCACAGTTCTAGAGGTTGGAGGCCCAAGATCAAAGATACCAGCAGGACCTCTGTGAAGCTTCTCTCTTTGGCTTGCAGAGGGCAAGATATTGGTATTCTTGCTATGATGGTTACTTCTAAGTCTGTGATTTTACTAATCTCTTTATAAGGATTCCAGTCATCCTGGATTTGGGCCCGCCCTAATGACCTCATTTAACAGAACTCATTCCTTCTTTGAAGGCCCTGTATCTAAATCGGTCACATTCTAAGCGCTGAGGGTTAGGATTTCAACAAATAAAATTTGGGGAAGGTACATAGTTCAACCCGCAGCATCTATCAATCATTTGTGCTGTGCATGGTCAGGAGCAAGTTTATGATTCAGACAAAGCAGTGACACTGGACTGCTTCCTAAGGTTCCCACATCCCACTGATTCACTCCTAATTCCCTCCCTCTGGCCTCAGGACAGTCTAGTAGAGAAAGGAGATTGCAAAAAGTGAAAGGAAGGTGAAAACTTGTCAAATGCACCGAAAAAGTAAGAAAGTGAAATAGATAAAAAAAAGAGACTTCTTTTCGTATAAGAAGCAGTACATTGTGAAGGTCACTAGGTAACCAAATTTCAGAAATAGATAGGACCTTTTTGTATAAAGAGGAGGTGAAGGCAAATAACATGAAACAGTGATAGTGCTACCTCTACCAGGGTCAGCAATGTTCAAATTCTAAGTCCCACAGGTGAGATTTTGGAAAAGATCCATTTGTTTTCTGTATTACAAAGGGAGAGAGAACCATTTCTGGCAAGGGGCTGCTGGTTCCTGGGGATTCCCATTCTGTCCTCACGTTCCCTTCTCCATCCTCCCAAAGCAGGGAGTATTTGGGCCATGTAAAACCAGGGGCTTAAATGCTAGAAGACCTACTTAACTTCACCCATAACACCAGCCATACAAATCTCCCTACGCGTTCAGTTGTCTACATGTACCCTTTTTGGAGCAAATGCACACGAGTGAATACCTTGTGAACATCTACCTACCCGGACAAGAGGCCCCTTGTGCTGTCAGATATGGAGGGAACATTTTTCTGTCTAAAACTGGGTTAGAAGCTGCAAGCATCAAACATAAGAAGAAAAAGACTTTAATGGTGTTGTCAGCGGACACGGAAAATATTTTGTTATCCTCAGGAGCTGTGTGGATGTAGATCACTGGAGTCGTGTGGCTTCTCAGCAGACCTGTTGGTTTTCTAGAATGAGAAAAGAACAGATGAACACAAAGAAGTCCTGTCTGCTGTTTCTAAATAAAAATGCAAAACTAAACTTGGCCCGATTTGGCAGTTCTGTTCTGCCTGAAGGAGGGTGCTGCTTCCCTCTGAAATCACACAAGTATATATCTTATGTGATAAAAGGACTGAAGTAAATAATATCCAATTATAGCAACAGCACTTGGGGTGAGATGAAACCTTGGGCTTTGTTTCCCCAACTGTTAACAATAGCACTATAAAAGGAACAGGCAAGGAAGCGCCCAGGGCCGGGTGGGAATGGATTCTATGACAGGTTGTTACTTTATGCAGACCGCATGAAGGGCTTTGCCATGTAAGTTAAAGAATTCTCTGGGATCACAGTACCTTTGTAGGATCTTGGAGCTGTGGCAGGGAGGGTGAGGAGGGAAGGAGTAGAGAGGCAGGGCTGAGGTTAGGGGGGAGAGCGCAGTCTTTATAATCAAGTACGTACATTGTTCTCAACTACTAGACAAAAGGGAGTCTAACTTGATAGAAATGGGCAGAAAATGATTTTTCTTTCTTATTATGCATCTGACATTGTTCTGAGTTTTATTTGTGGATTATTTCATTTTTAATCTTCGTTACTACTCTAGGCGGTGGGTTGCCTTGAGATCACCATTAGAAATAAGCACACTAAGGTTGCAGTACTTGGTCAGGATCACCTGGCTCAAAAGTGGCAGGGGCGTGACCAGACCCAGTGTGCTTCCCTGCTGCACTGCACCATCCCAGTGAGCACCTGTGCTACTGTCTGGTTCTTATCTAAAAGGTTTCCCAATAGGCCTATTGAACCAGGTATGGTAGCACATGCCTGTAATCCCAGTACTCTGGGAGGCTGAGATAAGAATTGCAAATTTGAGCCCAGCCTACTCAGCGACCTAGTGAGACCCTGTCTCAAATAAAAAACAAAAAGCTGGCTGTAGTGGTACTCTGTAATCCCAGCACATGGGAGGCTGAAGCAGAAGGATCACTGTGAGTTCGAGGCCAGCCTGGGCTACATAAGTGAGTTTAAGGACAGCCTGAACTGCATAGTGAGACCCTGTCTCAAAATAAATAAATAAAAGGCGCCTGTACCTAGGCCCTCGGTTCAATCCCACTACTGGGGGTGGGAGGAAGGCTCATTTTGTTGAAGATTTGGTTGTTGGTGGGTTTTTGGAAGGATCATAAAGAATTCATTGGTGGATAAATCCACCTAATTTGATGGTATTAGTGGAAGTTCACAGAGTTTAGGAATAGCGCCTTGTTTAGGGGAGTGGATCAGGGATCATGACCTTGGAGAATGTCCTTTGTCCTTATCTCTTGTCTTTGGCTCCGGTTCACTTACCTTTTTGGCTTCTTGGATGCCACAAGGTGAGCAACTTTTCTGCACTGTGCCCTGCCACATGCTGTTTGTGCTTCACCACTGGCCTAGAGCAATTGTGTTGGTTGGCCATGGACCGAAACCTCTGAAACCATAAGTCCCAATAAACCTTTCTCACTTGACATTATGTTTCTCAGGTACTTGTCATGGCAACAGAAAGTTAATGAACACAGCCACTGAGAGGCTTGAGGTGACCTTGTAGGCCCCTGTGGATGCTTGGAAGAGCAGCTCAGCTAGGAACCTTGGCATTTCCCATGTGACTCATACTCATCCCTGAATCCCCATTATTAACCCAGGAAAGTCAGCTCCTCATTTCTGATTTTACTTCCATCTCCAGCACTTCTCTGGAGATAACAAACCTGCCTTTGAACCCTGACTGCCATCACTTCCAAGAAGTCATTAAACTTCTCTGAGCTCTTATTTCTGCATTTGTCAGTGGGCTAGATGTGAGGATCAGAGATGATATATGTGTTGCATGGTACCTGGAACAAAGTAGGTGCCTGCTAGGATGGTAGTTACTGTTATCCTCAAGGAAGTCCTCCTTGAGCACTTGTTCAGTAGGGCCTATCATGAAGGATACATGCCTGACTCTAAGGAGTATGAGGATCACTCACTGAGAGGAACAGAGAAGTGAACCTTTATGTTATGCTGTTTGCTACCCTGCAACACCAGGTTCAGACTTTACAGAGCAATCCCTGGTTCCTTAGTTCAGCTGCACTTCCCCTTTTATGCCAGTTCTGCTCTACCTTGGGATGGTAGAGTGATTAACTTTGATGGGGCTAAACAACCCCTATGGAGAGCTGAGTGCATGCACACTGGGGGCCGTGTGAGCAAGGTTGACTGTAACACAATGACTATACATCAAAATCCGTACTGGCACTCTGGAGCTGATCAAGGTGCATTGCTGGGGTGATAGTAATGGGATTGACCAAATCATATTGAGATGTGGGTGAGTGATGCCTCCATGGCTGCCTCTTTGTCCTTGCAATTATTTACATTGTAAATGCCTGGTAATTAAGCCCAAAGAATGAGTCCTTTAAGGCCACAAACAGAAGTTTCCCAGGCTGTGTGTATGACAGATTACTTTTAGACAAGCTTCTAATTACTCTAAGTTATTCTACTAGTCCTACTTTCATGGATCTTACCCCATCAATGGCACTCTTGGTGGGAGAAAAACAACTTACCCAGGCAGATAAGGATTCCAGGCCCTAATTATTCCATCCATTCTACCTGTCAGCAGCAAATTCTCTCTTTTACAGAATGAAACCGCCTTGACTCCTTTATGGATGTGAAACACTGTTTGATCACACTCTGCTCGCCTTTGGGGCAAAGCTCTTCCTCTTCTTGTCTTGACATCTTTTCTAACATTCCTTATCTCTTTCATCTTTTGTTTGACATTTGTTGTTCCTGCAGCGCACCCTAAAAGTATTCACAGAAAAACAAAACACATTTTCACAGTCAATTTCCTGACAGCCTGATAATTTTTAAAGGTCTCAGATTCATTTTCAGGGACAACTATTTTCTTCTTCTCTCAGGTGTTAAACTATAGATAGTCTGAAGAATAAAAATGATGCGAATAAGAAAAGCAAGGTTTTTTCCTCCTCCTTTTCTAAAAAGAGACCAAAATAATCACCTGAGGAACAGAGGTAACATGAAGATGACCACTTCATTTGGAGGAAACTAACATACATTAAATCTCAACCCAGTGCCAAATCCTGTTCTGCAACCTTATTTGAGCCTAACGGAAACTGGGTGACTCAAGCACACTGACCTCCCATAGTACAGGTAAGAAAGAGGTTAAGGAACTTATGATCAAGAACACAGTGGAACCACCCACCAAACCCAGGAGCATATAACTCTTGCACTGGGACTCACTGAGTTGACTTAACAGTTCCATTTACCTACCACACCACTTTGTCCTACAATTATCTTGATGGATATTTCCTGCCAAATGACTGATGAATCCACTGATCAATGGAACAGAAATGTTTGCATCACGCAGAAACAATCAGTGGTCATCTTGTAGGTTTCAGACATGAATCGTACGGGTAGATCATTCATGAAGGAAATTCTGCGTGCATTTCATCAGCACCTGTCCTGTATCCACCATCTGGTTCACCCAGATTACCGACCTCAGCCATGCCGAAGATGAACATGCCCAAGATGACCATGGCCACAGAGAAAGAAAGTTCAGGAGAAATTTTCAGCTTCCCTTCCCAACCCATCCCCAAATAGGAGTCCTCTCTCTCACTGTTGTGATTTCAGGTTAGCTAAAGGACAATTGGTTTTGTTTGCACATTGTTCTGGCTGTGATCACAAGTTCCAAGTTCAATTATTTCCCAAGAATCAGAGAGTAACTGCAATTCAGCCAAAGCCCACTAAGCCAAGCGCATATTTTGTAAGGATAAACACTGCTCTGCCCTACAGACAGTGGAGCTTCAATGGAGACCTAATTTTATCCTTAGAAACTTCGAGAGTTTTAAATATTGGCACCTAGTTTCTAAACATGTTTTCAATATTCTGCTTTTCAGCCCACTGCCCCCTGTGGCTGAGGAGTCCTGCACTGAAGTGGAGCACAGAGACTTGTCCAGGAAGGTGGACGTGACTCACTTTTGGCTGCCCCAGAGCTCTTTCCTGTTGACTGGCCCAGTGCCCTGAGGTAGGGGGTGGCGGCGCTCCACTTCATGAGTGCCACTAGGGAATGTGCAGTCATTTCCATATGACCAGGTGTAAGATCTCCACATTACCTGGAGCTGTACTCTGATACTTGGGCCACCTCTGCAGAATCTATTGACAGTGAATTGAAGTGACAGCCCTGCTGCCTGTGGCATCTTTCCCTAGTGGCCCTGGTTGGGTTGGGTGGGGTGGCTGGCTAGCCACTCTGACCTAGCTTTCCCTTCCTCCATTACTGTGCATGCGGCAGGCTGGTAAACAGCCTTGAACTTGAAGCTCTTCAGCTGCCAGGGAGAGGGGAGGAAGGATAACTGGGGAGAGCAGATAATTACATAAGCCGGCAGAGAGAGCCGAGAATCTGGAAGAGCACCGTGTCAGAGAGATGCAGTGCACCCACCTCCAACAGCAGCGTGACACGTTCACCTTTCTTGTTATGAGCGGAGATCAGAAACTTCTAAGCAGGTGTGTCACTTTATTTTCCTTTTACTTTTTTCAAGTAGAGGGAGAGCAGCCAGTTCATTTGCATGATCTCTAGCACTTCTTTTCCAACAAAGCCAGACATAGATACATGTTTAAGTGGTTGTCATGGAAACCAGAGAGCATAGCTCTCCTCCAAGGTCTGAAGGAAGGATGATGAAAAGTTTAAGTAATCACCATGGAAACTCAGAGCAGATTCAAGGCAGGTTCAGATCTCCAGCGCACTAACGAGTAGCAGGTAAATCTTCAGGGAATGGGGTCCTAGTGGAAGGTTAATTCTGAGTGGCTGTCAGCATCAGGATGGACTCAGTTACCCTCTCCACGGTCATAGGAGTCCCACGGAGCTGGCAGAAAGGTGGGTGTGTTCAGAATTTCAATCTTCCTGATTCAAGCTGGGTTTGGGGACCTTGCCCACCCTTTCTTATATTTTATCCCCTTTTCTCCACCACCTTTCTCAGTACCGCGGAAGCCCCTGGATCTATGGTCACAAAATCAAACTCTGTTCCTAGTTGCAGAAAGCAAGACAGTCAAGGCAGATTCCTGCCTTAAATCAACAAAAGCACTGGAAGATATTTCCTGGTTCCAGAACTCTTTAGACAGTTGTCGATTTCTTCTGTTACATTCTCCCTCGCCACACAGGTCGCTCTCTTTGGGAGTAAGTGGCTGACCATAAATCAAGGTTTGAAGTCCAGGAACCCATAAAAGAAGAGCCAGAAGAAGCTGTGGAAGGGCTCTTGCCTAAAGTGAGTGGGGGTGACTTCAGGGAAGTCGCGGGATTGGGCAAATGTGGGAGTTGGTGGTCTCTCTATGGTCCCCGGGAGAAAATGGCAAAAGGATTTAGAAAATAAAGACAACAGAGGATAGCCAGGGTCAGGTGGAGTTACCTCTTGCCTGATGAGCAGGAGGACTGCCCCAAAAAAGTAGAGCATTTATTTATACCCTGGAGAGGTTGGTCAATTTTTGTCTCCCTGCCCAGCAACCACTTAACAAGTTACAATGACTTGTTTACTCCGAGGGACTTGTTTACTCCGAGGAGCTCCCGTGTTCTTAGGCTGGCTTCACCCTGCACCTGTAATTATTTTCCAGCTTCAGCGGCTCCCAACAGGGGAATTACCCCTGTTTCCCGATGAGGTTATGACTCTGGTAAGCACTTAGGAGTGAGGGTTGGTGCTAGGACACAGAGTAGATACACCCAATTGATGGTAGCAGCCATGAGTATGGAGAACTGTGAGGACATGCGAGAACCAGCCCCGTAGTGAGAGGGGCACAGGAGGAAGACATTTGACAAGCTTGCCACTACAGTGTTCTGGTTCTCCTGGACTGTGATACTTCAGAGCACTGTTTGTGAGTGAGATGGATATGAGTCTGAATTACAACTTCGCAGATACATTAGCTCAACAGATACTTATTGAGCACCTATTAGGTGCCACATGGTGTTCTAAGCACATAAAGTATGACAGTAAACAAAACAAGACAAGAATCCCTAGCACAGTGCAAAGACAGACCATGAACAAGAAGGATAATAAGTAAATTATATTGGACAGCAGTGTGCATGGATTTAGACAAGGGAAGAAAAGGCAAGAAAGACTGAGAACACCAGGAGCAGGGGAGTAGTTCCAATATATAATAAAGCAGGCAGGGTAGAAAATAGTGACATTTGAGCAGACTTGCAAGAGGTGAAGGAGTGAACTCTGAGGACATTTGTGGAGAACCTTCCAGGCACAGAACACCAGGAAAAGCAGTCAGATGTGTGCAGGGAGGTTGGTGTGACTGGAAAAGACTGAAGGATGATAGTAGAAGATGAGGCCAGAGAGGTAAAGGTGGATCATACAGAGCCCCGAGAGGCTTTCTGAGTAAGGTGGGGGCTCACAGGGGATTCAGAGGATTTCTAGTTTTACATGGTCTTTGGCTACTGTGCAGAGAATAGAACATAGAGGTGGAGGGAAGTTGGGAGACCAGGTAGGAAGCTGTCACAGGAACCCAGGGAAGAGAAGACAGAGATTCTTACTGGTCGGAGTGCAGCTGGTGAGAAGCAGCCAGAGTCTAAGTGTATTATGAACACAGAGCCAACAGGCTGAGGGAGAGTTATGAGAGACAATAGTTAAGGTGACTACTAGGTTTTTGGCCTGGGTCACTGGAAGAATGGACTTAACACCAACAGAGATGAAGAAACTGTGGAGTGAATCTAAGGGAGAAGATATGGATTCAGGTTTGGACTTAATTTTGAAGTCCATTATCTCTCAGATGTCCGTAGGGAACCAAGGCAGCTGGAAAGGCCAGAGGAGGCTGGGTTGGAGATGTTAGTTTGGGAATGGACAACATATTGGTGGTACTAGAGGAGGTGACCAAGGGAATGATATGAACACGGAAGAGAAGAAGAGCAAGAACTGAACACTGGGGCTCCAACATCGAGTCAGGAAGAAGTAAAGGAACAAGCAAGGGACACCGAGATAGTATAGCTAGAGGGATGGAAGTAAAAGTAAAAGAAGTTGAGACTTTGAAGCACAGTAAGAGAAGCACATGAAGGAAGCCAGAATGGTCAGGTGCTGTAAATACAGAGAGAGAAATAAGAGGAAGACTGGTCAGTGCAATCGGCAGTATGAGGGGCACCAGGACTCTTAGAAGAGTGGTTTCAGTGGTGGTGGGGACCAGGGCAAGGTTGGTATGGTGAATAGACAACTGGTGGTCAACTTATAACCCCAAGCTGAACTGAGCAAGCATGGTGCTGCATGTGGGAGGCCCACCTGGGGACTGTTGCCAGCAGCATAAGAGGCAGAACTCGAGAAGAAAAGAGGCTGTTGGGAGCTAGTAGAAGCTTTTGGAAGCAGAGAGAAGCTGTAAGGAGCTGCTGGTTTTCTTGGAGGAGCTTGTCATGCTGGCTTTCCTGATGAACTTGGCTGTTTTCATCCTCCAAGGAGCTTGGACACTGTTGTCGTGGAGAATGGCTTCAGTTCACTTTGGGGGAGCTCTGGCCCTCACTCTGAGCATCACTTCCTGGCTCTCGAGGGGAAGATGGTGCACTGCCAGTCTCCTGGAGAAGCTTGCTGCGTTGGCTTTCCTGATGGGAACTCAGCTGTCCTGATCATCGGAGGAGCTCAGAACCTCATTGTTGCTGAGGATGACTGGTACTTTTCAGGGGAGCTCTGGTTCTTACTTTGAGCATCGCTTCCTGGCTCCAGTGTAGATCCCTCAGCCTGCTAGCACAGATCCTTCATCCTGCTGGCACAGACTTTCTAGATTCCACCACTGACCTTTGGGCCTTCCCAGTG